TGTTTTTTTTTTTTTAAATTTTTTTTTTAGTTTTATTAAATTATTTTAATTTTTTTAAATGAAGACTGTTAAAGCTAACCAACTGGTTTTAGTGCGTGGCTCAGAGCAGAGAGCCGCTTATAGAATTCAGCCCCTCAATTGCTGAATTGAATAGTTAAGAGCTTTTTCCAGGATAAACCAATTTTATATCCTTTAGGATTTGGGTAAAAGGATCTGCCTTTAATTTTATTACTCGACGACGCCATAAAAATTCGCACAGGTGTTTGTCGAGCTTTTCCTTGCGTACCCCGCCGCGAGATTAAGATCGTCTCATCGACCTCCAGGAAGACTCAATGTTTTGGGTATGTGCACCAGTTTCACTGTTAACAAATTCTATTGAATGATTAACAGTTTTGTGCACATACCCATGGGATTCTAAATCGAAGTAGCCCTTCCAGCAGTTGGTGTGTATCTCTGTCCCTACTAACACTTGCTTTTTAATCAAAGTTAGCAATGTTTGCTTATCTCTTTTGTTTTCGGGACAGATTTCCAACCGATACCTTTCAGAGCTACCTCGTTGTATGAATCCCAGAATCCACGAGCCTTCCACTACTCTCCCACGTTCATATTTTCGCCTCCCGATTTTGCATTCATCTATTTCCACTACTGTTCCTTCACCACCAATAGGTCCTTCAGTAGCAAAATCATTGTCGAGAGATATCATACATATCTCTCGACAGAATGAAAATCGGTCGGCGACTGTTTCAGAAGAAACTTCTTTATTTTCAACTATACTGCTTTCCCGGATTGTTTGATTAAAATCAAAATTCACGGAAAAGCAGTATGTTAAAACAATGCAAGCAGTCGCCGAAATGTGACAGTTGTTAAACCAACTGTTTTCAGCGACTGATTTTGCGTGATTATATTTGCCTTTCTTAAAACAGTGAAATTTACCGCAAACCGATTTTTCCTCGTACAGAGTCATCAATTTTTTATGTTTGGAACAAAAACGCTGTACAGGAATCAACTCTATTTCTCTAAGCCATTTTAAGGTGGTGTCGCGATTTGACAAAATTCGACTTAGAGAAAACAAATTATACTTTTCGTTCATTGCTTCCCAATGATGTTCCAAAGACTACTGGAAAGTTTAGATGTGATACAAAAGTAGAAAAGCGGCTCTCTGCCCTGAGCCACGCACTAAAACCAGTTGGTTAGCTTTAACAGTCTTCATTTAAAAAAATTAAAATAATTTAATAAAACTAAAAAGAAATTTAAAAAATAAAAAACAAAAAAAAAATTTTAATATTAAAAAAAAATAAAAAAAAATATGCACTTCTAAGACTTTTCTTCGACCTTCTCGTGGTGAAGTGCGTGAGTAGGTATATGTTATTCAAAATGCCGAAACCAACGAAGAAAAGCATCCTGAATGTCGGGGTGGGTTCGGTACCTTCTGGTACCAACTGCATATAAATTTGACTTCCTTTCTATATGCAAGGAAAAGGGAACATAGCTGAGGCGGGCTGCGCCCGCCTCTGGGTTTTCAGTTTCCTGAGGCCATATCTCATGCTTTTTCCTTTCCTGTTGTAGGGGGCTCGGGGTGGGTTCGGTACCTTCTGGTACCAACTGCATATAAATTTGACTCCCTTTCTATATGCACAGAAAAGGGAACATAGCTGAGGCGGGCTGCGCCCGCCTCTGGTTTTTCAGCTTCCTGAGGCCATATTTCATGCTTTTTCCTTTTCTGTTGTAGGGGGCTCGGGGTGGGTTCGGTACCTTCTGGTACCAACTGCATATAAATTTGACTCCCTTTCTATATGCACGGAAAAGGGAACATAGCTGAGGCGGGCTGCGCCCGCCTCTGGTTTTTCAGCTTCCTGAGGCCATATCTCATGCTTTTTGCTTTCCTGTTGTAGGGGGCTCGGGGTGGGTTTGGTACCTTCTGGTACCAACTGCATATAAATTTGACTCCCTTTCTATATGCAAGGAAAAGGGTACTTAGCTGACGCGGGCTGCGCCTGCCTCTGGTTTTTCAGCTTCCTGAGGCCGTATCTCATGCTTTTTTCTTTCCTGTTGTAGGGGGGTCGGGGTGGGTTCGGTACCTTCTGGTACCAACTGCATATAAATTTGACTCCCTTTCTATATTAAAAGCGTACATAGAATCAATTCGACCCTATTTCTATATTTAAAATGTGCTAAGAAACTAATGATAGCAAAAACCATGATTTTTGCATGGATTTACCTGTGATTGAGAGTTTTTTGTATTTTTTTCGAAAATAATGCGTTTTTGGAGAAAAATGTATAGAACATAAAAAATGTATTTTGATGAGATCTACAACTTTTGTATGAAGCATTTTTTAAAATTTTCTTAGCATAATGAAAAAAACGTAAAAAACCATTATTTTGATGGTTTTTTATGGTTTTCACCATGAAGATGAGCTAGTCGCCAATTTTCATTATGATTTTCGTAATCAGGGCACAAAATTACGTAGGGAAACTAAGTTTCAAGTCGATTGGCGGTTCGAGCTATTCGGAAGTATATTAATTTTTTATTATTATTATTTAATTAAAAAAATTTATTTAAAAAAATTTTTTCTCTTGGTTGCCAATATTCGGCCAATATTGGACCAATATTAACAACCGATGCTTGGCGAACCCGTTACATCCCAAGCATCAGCCCATATTGGTCCAATATTGGGAGTTAATCGGCGCCCAGCACGGCAACCAATATTAGACCGATATTGGACCGATTAAAGTCTTTTGGCAATTTCTCACTGAGCTGTCATATGGACAGCTGAGTCTTTACGCTCCCTGCATGCTTCTGCCCTCTACTGGTAAACAGCTGTAATACATACGTCTTGCCGCCTATCATTACATTACATTTGTGTTGCCCATTTTGAAACCGCGTTTCTGCATGGATTAAAAAACTCGTGTCGTTGGTACGTGGGCAGATTTTGTAAAAAGTGCCTCTGTGCAGAGAAAAATTTGTTTGAAAATAGTTGTTTACTAATTTCGTGCAAAATACATAAATAACCTAGAAATTTCAGAGACCATCAAAATGTGTCATTAACCTTTTGTTTAGGTGAAAATACACAGAAAAATGTAAAAATGACACACACAACATAGGTTCTTATTCCTCGCATACGTATAGCCAGTGAAATTAGTGAAATTTTTGTTCACAGTATATATATTCACATATATATATATATGTATATATATATATAATATACTGGATAGCCGATGTGCGAAAGTGGGGGTAACATTTTGAAAGTCTGTCATTTTAGTAGACAGATTACCGCTCATGCGCGTAAATACACAAGTAGAAGATTTTTGCAATTTGTAAACAGATCAAATTATGATATATATGATATATGATTATATATATATATATATATATATATATATATGTATCCTATATAAGAAATCTCTAAACGAAAATCTCTTGAAATATCTCGAAGTTCCTAACGCCTATCCCATTGGTTGCTTTCACTCGTGAGCTATACTCAATTGGCTGAATTCATATTTTCTATCTTTGTCTTTTAAACACTTGAAATAGGGAGGTTCATTCACTATACGAACATATACTTACACATTAAAATAAAAGTAGTGTGCGTAAGAGGGCTATATTCTTTTTATTGACTTCTTTTTCGTCATATACTTAAAAAGAGAGTCTTAGTTTATTTTGGAAATACGTTTGTGACAGTCGTCATTTTAACGCAATTCCTTTAGAAATATAGTCAATTTATGATACGGAATATTATTAATATGATAAAGTGATTTCAAGTGTAAAGTGCAATTGTGTAAAATGCAATAACGTTATTATTAACGTGATAAAGTGATTTCAAGTGATAAAGTGCAATTGTGTAAAATGCAATAACGTTATTATTAACGTGATAAAGTGATTTCAAGTGATAAAGGGCAATTACATAAAATTATTGTGATAGATTTGAATAAATATATAAGGTATGGATTTAATTTAAAAAATTTATAATACCTAATCAAATGTAGGTATGTCATTTATGAATATATTTATAATTGTATCAGACAAAAATATAATGAGATATGAGATAATGTATTAATGATATAATGGGAATAATGAGATAATGGATTAATGTTTGTTATTAGACAAAAATATAATTAGATAATGTGTAAATGAGATGAGATAATGCATTAATGAGATAATGGGAATAATGAGAATGGTAAAAAGTAATTAAATATAATTTATTATGCCTCGTAAAGTTATACGTTCTATAGAAGAAGAAGCCACTTTTAAATTTAATAAACGAAAGAAAAATAATGAAAGACAAATGCGTCATTACATAAATTTGAAAGCAAAAAAAGTAAATGCTTTTAAAAATAATTTTAAAAATTATCATTTAAGAAATATTTCCAATGAGAATGCAAATTCTGTTCAAACCGTCCATACAGTTAATGAAAATTGTAATAATGAAGATTCATCTAATCTTAATGAAAATTTGCAAGATAATAGACATCAAGTTTTAGAAAATGATATTTCAAAAAATTATTTAGGTGAAATGAATATTTTGTGCGTTCATTGTAATGCGCAACATTTCTCAGGAGAGAAGGGAGTGTATAAGGGTACGAATTCTTTTAATGATTGTTGTGGTCATGGTGGTGTTTCTCTTGAATCTATGTCAAATTTTCCATTGGAATTAAAATCTTTATTGGATGGATCGCACCCTAAATCAAAAATTTTTAAAAATGATATTAGAGTTTTAAATAATTCTTTTTCATTTGCATCGTTAAATGCTAATGTTGTAAATTTTAATGGAAGGCGTTCAGGTCCTTTTTGCTACAAAATTCAAGGTCAAATTTATTATCAATTTAATAAGGCTTTATACCCGGAAGAAGGAGAAAATCCGACTTTTGGACAGCTATTCATTTATGATGCTAATGAAGCCATTGAATACAGATTAAATGCAAATAATAAACTTGATCTTGAAATTGTAACAATTATTGAAACAACAATGAGAAATTATAACGTTTTTACAAAATCTTATAAAATGATGTTAGATGTTGTAAATATTGAGAAAGAATTGGCTTTGCAAAATAATAATAATATTCCTGAATTGCAATTACTTTTCACTTTAAAAAAAGGAATGGATAGAAGACGTTTTAATTTTCAAACAACAAATGAGGTTGCTGCTATTTTTAATACAAATTCTGAAGGAGAAATTCCTGAATCCTATGTGACAATTTATAATAATTCTTCAAAATCTTTGCAATTAGTTAATAGCTTGGACCCAAATGTTGAGCCTTGGACATATCCCATATTTTATCCCAAAGGATCTATGGGGTACGATATAAATATGCTTCGAAATGACAAGGAATCATGGTTAAAAAAACACAAAATTAGTAGAGCAGATTATTTGAAATTCCGTATAGCTGTCAGGGATGAATTTAATCCTTTCTTATTAGGTGGAAGATTATTTCAACAGTGGTTAGTTGATAATTACGTTAAAGTTGAGAAAGATAGACTGCATTATTTTAAAAATAATCAACTAAAAATAAGATCAGAATCATATAAAGGTTTAGTTGATTATTTACAACATAGAGCTGATGAAAGTGATACACATGTAGGTAAATTAATTGTATTGCCATCAACTTTTATAGGATCTCCAAAAAATATGTCACAGTTATATCAAGATTTTATGGCAATTGTTGGTAAACATGGCAAGCCAGACTTATTTATAACTATGACATGCAATCCGCAATGGAGGGAAATTGTTGAAAATCTTTTACCCAATCAAACAGCGTCTGATAGGCCAGACATTGTTGGAAGAGTTTTTTCTTTAAAAGTCGACTGCTTATTAGATGTTATTGTTAAAAAAAAATTGTTTGGTGAGGTATTATCATACGTATCTGTCATTGAGTTTCAAAAAAGAGGTTTACCTCATATTCATTTGTTAGTTATATTAAAGCAAAATTCTAAATTGTTGACAGCTGAAAGTGTTGATCGTTATATATCTGCAGAAATTCCTGATATTAATTTAAATCCAATTTTACATAAGACTGTAATAAAACATAATATTCATGGACCTTGCGGAGATTAGTGTATTGTTGATAATAAATGTTCCAAAAATTTTCCCAAGGAATTTAACTCGGAAAATACATTTACTAATAAAAGTTTTGTGAATTATCGCAGAAAAAATACCGAGGAAAATTACACAAGATCAAATGGCTACATATTTGACAATAGATATGTAGTACCTTATTGTCCTCAACTTACTTTAATGTTTGATTGTCATATAAATGTTGAAGTTGTTGTTGGTATTCAGTCTGTTAATTATTTGTATTAATATATATACAAAGGTCATGATGCAGCAGCAATATTCATTACTGACAGTAATGGCGGTACTGTTATAGGTTATGATGAAATTAAACAATATGAAGAAAACAGGTACGTCGGCCCTGTTGAAGCATTTTGGCGTATTGCGTGCAAAAAATTATTTAAAAAAAGTCACAGTATTACTTGATTGCCAATACATTTACCTAATGAACAAAATATTATTATTTCAGAAAAAAGTAGTGAAAATAATATTTCTTTTAATATTAATAAACAAACAAAATTATTATCTTATTTTTCTTTAATTGAAAAAGATCCTGATGCTCGTGAAATGTATTATAATGAAATTCCTGAACATTACACTTGGAAAGATAAAAATTGTGAATGGGTAAAAAGGAAGGGCTATAACAATACTATTGGTAGGATGTATTCTGTTAGTCCGTGTCAAGTTGAACTATTTCATTTACGATTACTTTTACTTTCAGTTAAAGGGAAAAAATCATTTGAAGATTTATGCACAGTAGATGGAATAATTCACGATACATTTACTTCAACTTGCTTAGCTTTAGGGCTCATTGAAGATGATTATGAATGGAGGCGGGCGTTAAGTGACGGTGTTTTATGGAAAATGCCTCAAAGTCTTCGACGATTATTTGTAAGAATTTTAATTCACTGCCAACCAATTAATCCTCAAGATTTGTGGAATGAATTCAAAGATAAATTATCTGAAGATTATTCGAGAACATATAATACTTTTGAAAGTGAAAGTAGAGCATTTTTTAATATAAAGGATTTATTAATTGATGAAGGTTATAATTTGGAATTGTTCCCACGACTTTATGAACTTGAAAAACATTATTTACAATTAGATTTAATAGATGATAATATTAATATACGTGATAATGATATTGCTATTGGTGCTGAAAGATATGAAAAATTGAATGATAAGCAAAGGGAAATTGTTGATTTTGTTTTACATTTATTTGAAAATTCAGAAGAAGTTGAAAATAAATGTATATATATTGATGGTCCAGGAGGTTGCGGGAAAACATTTTTGTATCAAACACTTTGGCATTTGATAAGAAGTAAGGGTGGTAATGTCTGTAATATGGCTTTTACAGGAATAGCTGCTACATTACTTCCTAATGGAAAAACAGTTCATAAAGTTTTTGGTTTACCAGTACCACTTTATAATGATTCATCATCAAATATAAAAGTAAATTCTAAAGAAGGACAATTTTTGAAAAACATTGACGTTTTCATTTGGGATGAAGCTCCAATGGCACCTAAATACGCTTTAGAAATTATGGATAGGACTCTTAGAGATATTATGAAATCAGACATTCCATTCGGAGGAAAAATAGTTGTTTTAGGTGGTGATTTTAGACAAATACTTCCTATTAAAGAAAGAGCTACAAAAACAGAAATAATTAATTTATCGATTAAATGTAGTAAAATTTGGAAATATTTTTCAGTTTACTCATTAACAGAAAATATGCGAGCATTACCGCAAGAAACTGAATTTACTAAATTTTTATTAAATCTTGGTAATAGTGAGATTAATGATGACAATGATATAATTTGTTTGTCAGAAAGAATTATAGCAAGAAGTAATGCAGATATTGTTAAAGATACGTATTCAGATATTATTAAAAATAAACGTTTTAATGAACTTTTTAATTGTGCAATTTTGTCAGCGAGAAATAAAGATGTTGATGACATTAATAAAAAGGTTGTTAAATTATTAGACAGTGACGGCGAAAAAATATATCTAAGTGTTGATAGTGCTGACGATTGCAACAATGATAATATAATATAAATGATGTTATTCTACCAGAATATCTACATACACTATCACCACCTTCAATTCCACCTCACGAATTAAGATTAAGAATTAATTCTGTTGTAATACTAATTAGAAATTTGAGTATAAACGAGGGTCTCTGTAACGGAACTAGGTTATTAATAAAAGGTTTATCTAATAACTTAATTCAATGTGAAATTTTAACTGGTGATAAGAAAGGTAATATAATTTTTCTGAATCGTATAACAATTTATTGTGAAAATGTTTACCCTTTTTCATTTAAAGGAAGGCAATTCCCAATAAAATTGGTGTTTGCTATGACTATTAATAAAGCACAGGGGCAAACATTTAACAAAATTGCTATTGACCTTAGAAAAGATGTATTCAACCACGGTCAATTATATGTAGCAGTTTCTAGAGTTCGTTGTTTCGATAGTTTAAAAATTTATTTAGGATCTCAAAGAAGCAAAGAAAACATTAAAAACTATGTTTATAAAGAAATTCTTCAATAATTAAACGAATATTTCATAAAATGAAAAAATGTATTGCAATTTTAATATTGATATTATACTGAAAAATTATTATTTACTTTTATATATTTTTAATAATAACAATTATTGTGATTATTTAATTTCTATATATTTATCAAGAAAATTTATTATTAACAATAAATTTTTATTATATAATTCATTATTATTAAATCAATAATAGTGATTGTCACAAATCATGTTTGAATCATAGACTAAATTAAATAAGTTTTTATATTATTTTTAAAAAATGTATATATAATATTAATAGTAATATTTAAATAATTTGAAATTTATATGTTTAAATATATATAAATATTTTATAAATTCAACGCAAAATATTTTTTTTCTTAATTTTATTGCTTTTGCTATGAATAGGTTTATTTAACGCAATATATTTTTAATTTTCTTAATTTTATTGTTTTTTTTATGAATCGAGCTAAAATGCTTTAACATGATTTCTTTAGGTTAAATATTTTTTAAATATCGAGTTTCAAGTATAAGAAAACCTTTTTCCTTTTTCAAGTGGACGAGATGTGATTGAAAGAAAACCTTATTCTTCTAATTTTTCTCTTTATATATTTTGAGTGAAGAGGGAGTTTGAAAGTTATCACATTACATCTGGACCCCCATTGAGTTTATTCATGGGTCTTTTACGACTTTCAAATAATTATAATTTATGCATTAGTTAAGGACATTTGAAAAGTTATGATGTCACAGCTTTACAACAAATGCTTTTCACAAACTATAACGCAATAATGATTCAAATGCCCTTAAATAAACAAAATTAATTCTTATATTTAAATTTATTTCATGCAATAAATTTTTTATATTTCATTATAAATATTTTATTAATACTTTATAATATTTTATTTTAAAAAAATTTAATTTATTTTACAATTAATATCTTCTTATTTATTAAAAGTAAATAAATAAATTTTTAAAATTATTTATTCAAAATTTTTACTTGAAATATTATTGGACTATTTAATTTATGAATTTCTTTTATATAATATTATGCATTTTATAATTCTATATTAATGCATGTTACTTAATCATTATTAATTGTAGGTGTACATTTATCTTTTTTTGATTAAATTTTTAAATTTTAATTTTATGATTGAAATATGTAATATCAATTATTACTTTTATAAAATTTTTTTATTATTTTATGTAGTTTACATAAATTTAACAAAATTTAAAAATACAAATTTATAATTAAAAAATTTAAATTAGGCAACTTTTTTATAGTGAAAACATATATATGTATTCAACATTAAACCACGTTAAATAATTAATATTATAAAAAAAATTATTTCTGAATACAAACTATGATGCAATAATATTTTAATTAGTTTAATTAATTAATTTAAAACAAATTATTTCTTTTCATAATTTGGTATTATTTTATTAATAAATTTCATGCAATTATTTTTTATTATTTTTTATATACAATATTGTATTAATCATTTATATTTACAAATTGCAATACTTTTTTATAGTAGAAAATAAATTTTAAACATTTTTTTATTTAAATTATTATAATACATTAATAATCTCTTTTAAAGTCATGAATTTATAACAGCTAGAAGTGAGAAAAGAAAATTCGTCTCAGAAGATTTTGGAATGTTTTTCATGACGCGATGGACCAAAAGACATTTGTCAAGGGTATGTTGCTATCAGTTGACATTGAGAGGGTGAATAGTGCAGTTCGTTTTTTTCGCTCAAGGATACAGTTTTCTATAATTACATCTTTCTTCAAAATTTTAAAAAATTTTAAAAATGGCTGATGCAGGTAAATTCATTATTTATTTTTAATAATTATAAATAAAAATGTTTATATTTCATTTTATATTAAATTTTATTATAGTTAATTATTAATGTTTTTAAAAAATTTCAATTCATTGAAGATTTCATAAAATAAAGTGTAAATTAATTTTATTTATTCAACTAATAGATTATTTTAATTTTCATATTACATTATTCCAAATATCTATTTTTTAATTAATTATATTTTTATTGCTTAAAAAAATGTAATTATTACATTAAAATTTTTAAATAGTTTAATGTTATTATACTTTATTATTAATATTTTTAAAAAATTAATATTTATTGAATATGTCATAAATTAAAGTGTAAACGAATTTTATTTAATTAATTAATAGATTATTTCATTTTTCATATTACATTATTCTAAATATATACATTTTTTATTTAATGACGTTTTCATTATTTTTTTTTAAAAATGAAATGAATTATTAATACATTCAAATTTTTTAAATAGTTTAATATTATTATTCTTTATTATTAATATTTTAAGAAATTACTATTTATTGAAGATATCATACATTAAAGTGTAAACTAATTTTAATTATTTAAGTAATAGATTATTTTAATTTTCATATTACATTATTATAAATATATATTTTTTATTTAATTATATTTTTATTATTTTAAAAAAATTTAATTAATTATTAATACATTCAAATTTTAAAAATAGTTTAATTTTATTTAATTTTTTATTTTTATAATATAGTAATGCTACATTATTGTAATAAATGCGTGTAAAAAATATAAACAAGTTTTTTAGTTTTAATTAACTTTAAATTAAAATTTTATTATTCTATTAACAAATTAAATATTTATAATTGATAATAAATTGGTAGTTATTTGTTGATTAAACTATCAAAATTTTATTAAAAGTTAATTTAAATACACGTGAGCGAAAAAAATTGTTTATTAAAGTAAATTTAAATAAAACAAATTTTTACATATAATGAATATTCATTAATTTATAATTTTTTTTTAAATAAATTTTTATATTTGTCAATTTTTTAATATTATTATATAATATGTATTAATTTTTTGGAAAATGTTTTTTTATTTTATTAATTATAAATAAAATTACTAAAAATATTAATAATAATAATAATAAATTAAAATAATAATTAAAATTTTTTCAGGACCATCTTGCTCGAAATCAATGGGAAATAATTTAGATTTCATTTCAGGTGATGATATTTCTGATTTACCGTTTACAAGTACGGAGGAATTAAAAAATATTAAACATTAAGATTGCACAGTGTAAGTTTTTAAATTGTATTATAAATAATTTTGAATAATATTTATTTTACGTAATGATTTTTATTCTTTATTATATTTCTTTTATTAGAATTTTGGTGGGAATCGTTGAAACCATCGAGGATCCACGATTAGTGGGTAAAATGGGAAAACAAAAAAGAAGATGGAGGTTTTTTATAAATAACAATGCAGGCGACAGAATTCAGATCGTTCTTTGGCAAAATGACATTAAAAAATTTCAAGGAAAAATTATGTTTGATTACGTAAGTGGTGTTTTATTTATTAATTATTATATTATAATATTCAAATTTTTATTTACATTTTACTGTAGGTTAATATAAAATGTACGTGCTTTAAATTTTATAAAGTTTAAGGGTATTTGAACCATTATGGCGTCACACTCTTAAAACACATACTTTTCATAAACTATGACGTCTTAATGTTTCAAATACCCTTAATAAATTTTAGCAACAATTTTAAAATTATTTTATAATATAAATTAGTAATTTAATGAAAACAAAATAAAAAAATTGAATGTATAATGATTTATGCATTAAGCGTTATTTACTTTTTATAATTTAATTATAATATTATTCACGTTATAAAAATATTTTAATTCTTTTTATATATTGACTATAAATTGATTTATTATTATTTATTTGTAGAAAATTATAATCGACGGAGGATATTCAAAAATTCAATTAAATAAAGATTGGAATCTTGGAACAGTGGATTTTAAAGTCACCATCAACAACAATACAATTATTACATGCATTCCACTTGAAATGAATGGTGCCGTAATTAGAAGGGAGGTTCCCTTTGTAAATTTATCAGATATTGCTATTTCGACTGGATTCATAAGTAATTATATTTTAATATTACTTTAAATTAATGACGTTTGCATATTTTATAAAATATGTAAATTTTATTATTAATTTTAAATTATATTTACATTAATAAATTCATTTGCATAAAAATTTGTTTCAATAATAAATATTATTTTTTTTATTTCAGAGATTGAAGGATATCTCCGATCGCAATTTCAAAAAGTTGATCACTTTAAAAAAGAAATTTCAGATTATGTGCTTGCGTCAATTACTGATGGAGAGTATAATAATTTGGAAGTCAGAGTTCAGGACGTTACCAAAATTGATGAATTAAAACAATTTAAAAGAGGAGATTCTTTGGAAATTTCTGGATACATTAGAACTCGATTGGGTAATTATTCTACATTTAATTATTGTAATTTCTTTAAAAAATATAATTTTTCAATTATTTCATATAATTTTTAAAAATTCATATTAATTTTTAAATTATATTATTTTTTAACATTATTTATCTTAGAGTATGACAAATTAATTTAATTAAATAACTTATAAATTCATAAATATGTGTTTTTTAAGGAAACTTTTTTATATTTTATTCATTATTATTAAAATGAATTCTTTACATAAATAGAATTATTAAATAAATTTAATTGAATTATTTTTTAAATGATTAAGTTTTATATATTTAATTAATAGTTAATTTATGTAAATAATATTAATATTCAATTTATTCTAATTTAAAATATTTCAAATTGTTAAAATTACATGTTAGGTTAATGTTATTATGAAAAATTAAATTCAATATAAACGTTTTATAAATATTTTAGTTAATAATAAATTAATTTTTAATTATATCTTTCATTACAGGTAATAAAACGTATATATCTGTTTCATCTGAAAAATGTGTGAATCCAATAAATTTGAAAAAATTAACTCTAACAGAAATTATTAAAGGCAATAAGCCTATTGAAAAAATAAGGTTAGAAGAAACTGAAGACATTTAATAACAAATATCAAAGTATTTGGTCATTAAAATTATATTTTTATATAACGTTTTGCAATTAATAATTATATTACTGATTTTAAATAAAATATATTTTGAAATTTATTTATTGTTAATTTATTTCTTATCCTAAAATTTTTTTTATAAATAACATTATGTTTATATTATACAATAATTCAATAATAAATAATATATAAATTATATTATAAATATATATTTTATAATTCAATTAAATTTATTTCATTTTTTTCTAAATTTTCAAAAATTTATTTAATTGACATAAGACATAATTTTTATGAATTTGTTAGTATTAATTTCTGTTTAAAAATACTTAATGATTGTTTTTTAAAATAAAAAATATTTATTTTATTTTATATAATTATTTCTATGTTTTATAAATTATTTTATTTTTTAATTATGTTTTGTAAATTAACGTTTCAGTAGCAAATGCCAAAGACCGTTGGCGCGCGCGATTTTTGTCGCGTATATTATATATATATATATCTATATTATAAAAAGATTTCGCCGCCGGATTCAGTGCCCTGAAGTTGGCCACAAATGGTCAAAGGTCATCGCTCTGAAGTTGGCCTCAGGTCACAGACGTAGGTCAAGAGGTAAACATAACCTCAAAATCAGGTCAAGGTTCATCGCTCTGAAGTTGGTCTCAGGTCATAGACGTAGGCATGGAGTAGTATAAGGAGACCGAACGCCCGTGATGAATCCGCGTCAAACGTGGCCGCATTTTTCATAACAGTGATTCCTCTAGGCTCACTTACATCAATAGAAGAGCCTCTCGCGGAGGAGAAAATCATTATATTTAAAAACAAAATAAGACATGACATAACCTCTAATTTTGTTTATAAAAGTGATTGTTAGTTCAATGAAGCATGTAAAAAATAAATTGTGAGTGAAAATGCCTGGTGCTGTCTGTGTAGTGAAAAATTGCAATTCTTCTCTCTTAATTATAGAGGGAATTTTAGTAACAATTAAGTTATGTATATAAACAATAATAATCGCAACAATTCTCACATATACTTACTTATTTATCTCTTTTCACTTCCAACCGAGCACTTTCAAAATTAATATTGAATAAATAATAATATATTATAATTATAAGATAATTATTAATGATAATTGTCAACTATTTCCAAACAACACTAACCTATAAAAATACCAACTGCACTGTACAATAACAATTAGCAGACGATTATTGGTGACATTTTTCCCCGTTGGGGGCGCTTCTATCGATGTAAGTGAGCCCAGAGGAAACACGGTAATGAAAAGTGCGGCCACTTTGCGTGAGTGGCGTTCGGTCTCCTTATACTACTCCATGGACGTAGGTCAAGGGATAAACATAACCTCAAAATCAAGTCAAGGGTCATATCTCTGAAGTTGGCCTCAGATCACAGACGTAGGTCAAGAGGTAAACATAACCTCAAAATCAGGTCAAGGTTCATCGCTCTGAAGTTGGCCTCAGGTCATAAACGTAGGTCAAGGGGTAAACATAACCTCAAAATCAAGTCAAGGGTCATATCTCTGAAGTTGGCCTCAGGTCATAGGCGCAGGTCAAGGAGTAAACACATAACCTCAAAATTAGGTCAAGGGTCATCGCTCTGAAGTTGGCCTTTAGGTCATAGACGTAGGTCAAGAGGTAAACATAACCTCAAAATCAGGTCAAGGGACATCGCACTGAAGTTGTCCTCAAATAGCTATAGTATATTTAACATAATTTCAGATCACATACGTAGGTCAAGAGGTGAACATAACCTCAAAATCAGGTCAAAAGTTATTGCGGTCACAGACGTAGGTCACGAGGTAAACATAACCTCAAAATCAGGTCAATAGTTATTGCGGCAACAGACATAGGTGGAGAGGCGAACATAACCTTAAACTTAGGTCAAAAGAGGGCCTATGAAATCGACAAATTTCCTTATATCTTCTGGAGTTAGATCAAAATTGACCTATTTATTAACTTACACATAAAAAAAGCCTTCATTAAGGCCTTCCAAGGGATCAAAATTTAGATAAAATTCAACCTTTTTTTTAAATTAAAGGGGGACATTAAGGAGTCGTTATCGTACGTCACAATTAATGTCAACAGTGTCAAAAATTAAATTACATTTCTACGTACCTTCCATATTATTTAAAATCGACTTCATATTATTACAAATTAAAATAAATTCAAATAAATTTTATTTTCAATTTACAAAAATTTACAAAAATAATATTAATTTTTGTAATATTATTAATTAAATTAATTTTCCTGCTTTATTGTTTATTAAAATTATTTATTTCAACGTTTTTTTCGAAGATATATTACAGGGAAGAAACGAATTTTTTAACTCAAAATCTAAATAAAAAGAAATTAGTCATGTCTTATATTTCGGACCTGATTTCAAATACTACAATCTGAATCTATAATTTTGAGATACAAAATTGGTTACTTGAAACAAATTTTGGTTATCTTGAAAACAAATTGAATAATACAAATAATTTCAACAAACACTAATTTTACTGAATTTGGCTAAAAACCAATATTGATAATAAATATTATTAATTAATTCTTAATTTAAAAATTAATTTTAAAATAAAAATAGGGGGTTGGCGCGCAGGGGGGCGGAGCCCCCCTAGTATATATATATATATCCCTATATTACAAAAATATATCGTTGTCGCCGCTGTCACCGCTGTTTCAAGATTCTGTAAGGGCGCCCTATCCCAAAGGGGCCGTCAAAACTTATGTCAAAATTGACCTATTTTTTGACCTATAGGTCAAAAAGAGGATAAATAACGACCTCGCATTACGTCAAAATCTATGTCTAATTTGACCTATTTTTTGACCTGTAGGTCAAAAAGAGGATAAATAACGGCCTCACATTACGTTAATATAGGTCAATCTTGAGGGCAGTTTTGACCTAGGCGTCAAAATTTGACAAAGAATTCCCGCTACCCTCAAAATTTAGGTCAATTTTAAGGGCAGTTTTGACCTACGCATCAAAAATTGACAAACAGTTTCTGCTACCCTCAAAATTTAGTCCGCGCGCAGACTTAATGATGAGGTGAAGTTTGGCATCTGACCTAACAACGTAAGGTAATTTTAAAATTGTGTTTGCTCTTACACCTATAATTTTGACCTAATTTTGACGTTTTATTTTTACTCCCTCATTTAGTTACGTCATAATCTATGTGTAATTTGACTTTTATTTAACTACAACTTAAAAAGGGACAACAAAGGACTATAAACGTATCTATGATACGTCAAAATCTATGAAAAATTCGACGCCTTTTTAACCTATAGGTTAAAATGGGTCAAAATATATGTCAAAGTTTAATCTAATTTTTGACATATAGATAAAAAAGGTCCATAACGATTGTTACATTACGTCAAAATCTATGTGTATTTTGTCATGTATTGTATGCAATTTATTAAGATGCATTGATATTAAGAAAAAATTACTTTAAATTTATAAAAATTAAAATAAATATAAAAATAGAGATAGGGGGTTGGCGCGCAGGGGGGCGAAGCCCCCCTAGTATATATATATATATATATATCAATGCTTATTAATGATTACGATTATTATGCCCATATTAGCTCAGGTAATTCACAGTACTTCGCCGGTAGTAATTTTCTCTCGGGATGCCGTTCTGAATATTATAATAAAAATCTTTAAATAATATCAGTAATGAAGCAAATATTAGATATAACGTTTGACAATCATATTTAATATTTAAAATCATTGCTATTGTTAAAATGTAGAAAGTAGAATTATGTTATAAAAAAATATGTAACTTGTTGGATTTGATTGTGTCATAGCATGGTAGAATTCTTGACACGCATCGCGCATAAGGTTATCTGACGGTTTCAGGGAAGCCCTATGCAGTCCAGGTTCCGGACCAGTTTCTAGGCGTGGTAATCAAATCTAATCCTAGGAGACCTCCACGC